GTCATAACATATTAACTGGTTTGAGGGAAAGAGACAAACGGGAAAAGTCTGAAGAAAAAATTGACTGTCACCACCAGGACACGAACCAGGGACCCTCGCTTGTAGCCAGCGATGCTCTAACCACTGAGCTATGGTGTAGTCGTCATCCCAGCAGAGGCCGTTCAACATTTTCTTCAGACTTCGTAACTCACACTTCCTGTGAATCCACACAGGCGGGTGGGACGCAGCCCTCACTGTAACCCACAAACTTCACGTACAAACTAGCACGCAGGGAGCCCCAAGTCATAAAATATTAACTGGTTTGAAGGAAAGAGACAAACGGGAAAAGTCTGAAGAAAAAATTGACTGTCACCACCAGGACACGAACCAGGGACCCTCGCTTGTAGCCAGCGATGCTCTAACCACTGAGCTATGGTGTAGCCGTCATCCCAGCAGAGGCCGTTCAACATTTCCTTCAGACTTCGTAACTCACACTTCCTGTGAATCCACACAGGCGGGTGGGACGCAGCCCTCACTGTAACCAAGAGTACATAACCCGTTTATCTACTCTTGCTGTAACCCACAAACTTCACGTACAACCTAGCACGCGGTTATTATTATTATTATTATTATACGCACGTCCGCGTTTACGTCAACAGTAAGTCCACGTATTCGCATGTGCCAGAAGACAGCCAGAGTTGGCAGAGAGGAAAACAAAAAATAAAAGTAAAAAATAAAAGTAAAAAATAAAAGTAAGACAGCAGGCGATAGGCACATGACTCATGTTCGATGATAGGTGCTCAATGCACGGGATCTATTCGAAAGATCAAAAAATAAAACAAGAATAACAGACAACTACGATAGGTTTGTAACTCATGGTCGATGGTAAGTGCTAAATGCACGGGGTCTGTACAATGCCTTTGTCCCATCCGTTAGTACTGCGTACATCCTGGCACAGCTCGCGCCACGCAGGCCTGTCCGCGGCGATGGCCCGCAGGTGCTCCAGGTCTGCCAAGTTCCTTAGACTCCTCAGTCCTGCTGATTCTAGGTCCGCGGATAGTGTGGACACGATGGTTGTCCGTGGCCGCCCTCGCCATACCTTGTCCCCACAGGTGAAGTAACTCCGCATAGCGAGGGCGGCAGGCGTGTCTTGAGGGAGTCTGAGGATATTATGACCAAACAGGCCCCATCTGGATCGCCGCATGAGGGCACTGATGGGCTCTGTTGGGACTGCTCGAGTAAAAATAATGAAAATGCAAAAAAGAATACCAATTACCCAGTGCTCATTAGCGAGCCTGCTCATGCTGGGCCTGCTCTTCTACTCTGCGCTGTAGTGCCTTCAGAGTATCGATGGTCACAAGTACACTTGTAATTAGCGGCCTGGATCATGTTCTCGACGGGAGTTTTGAACACGAGCGGGTCCAAGCAGTCGCCGTTAAACTCCTTGTGATGGAAAAGAGATATGATCGACACGCGGTGCTTGTACATAATGAACGACGGCGTGTCCTTGATTCTCTGAATCGTGAGTGCGAGATTTCCCAGAATCGCACTATTGAGCAGTATGTAAATAACGAGCTTGGCAGCGACGAACCAGCTCAGGTAATACCCACAGTAGCACTGACACTGCGAATCTACGTGTGGATACCTACGGCCTTGCGCAATGATGCCATGATGCAAGCCCAAATATAGAAATAGTCCTCCAAATATCCAGAGGGATAACGCCAACAACGATGCAGAAAACAAAATCAAGTTGAGCATGCGCGTACGCCCGTCCAGTTTGACCTTTAGATCTGCTGTACTGAGCGAGATGTGGTATAACAGGTAAAGCCTGCTGGCGTGTCTATAGAGGGCCAGATCGTGCTTGACCAGGGACACGATCACGCTAAACGAGCATATGGCCAGCTGCACTGCAAAGAACTTGCTCGGATAGACGGAGGCGTTGTCCACGATACCGGCGTTCGTCGTGTCCAGCTGCACGTCCACCGTATCAGCTGGTTCATCTAGCAGGTACACTGGGGGACACGTTTGCGTATCCTTCAGGATGGGCTGCACACCGTCGCCGCAGTATGAGTTACACCATTTGCGCGGTGCGGTATGCCTGTCAAGGTAGGTGTAGTCGAACCCCCAGAAGAACATGATGACGTTGGTTGCCAATAGCGATCCAATGATCACCACGTACAGAAACGGAGCGAACTTCTTAAACTCCTGCCAGCTAACCATCTTGCAAGTGCCTACCACAATACTACTACAATGTATTATCTACTCGCTAGGACACAGACGTTCGCACACAACCGCTTACAACAGACTCAGTTAGTCGAAAACTACACTGGGCCACTAGGGCAGATCCGATGACTGAATCTGTCCAGTACCTACATGTCTGCGGAGGTCCTCCCCAAGTCTAAGAATTGAGCGATCACGTAAGCGTTGGCACCTCCCGGCACCTCCGACTTGCAATGCGCAACTGGCAAACAAGAAATACTGGCAATGACTGCTCGCTAATTACTGACTGTCAGGGCTTTTCACGACTCCCTGATCAACTGGTCCAGCCACAGGCATAGACATGCAGAAGCGTCGGTGTCCTCCTCGCGATCCAGGGTCTACTTTCTTGATTCACTAGGACGACTAGCGACTGACTGTGTACTGGCAAGTCTCTCGGAGTCATTTCACACTTCTAAGTTCTATGAAAAGAACTAATACTTATTACTTGAGTCACATCGCCAAGAACGCTAACAGCAACAACAGCTGCAGAGCAGGCATGACCAATGATTCATGTTCAAGACGTGCAACGTGGAACCATCACCCCAGCACAGATCACAGAGACTAGGTACATGGCATTGTGCATTGCCATTGCTTGGTAAACCAGTTGTACTTTTCGACCCATTGGCATTGTCATATTGTCATTGTGGCAATGTCACTATCGTTGAGAACACAATGTGCTCAATGACTATGAATTACGTCGTCATTAGCTAGGGTATTCACCGAGGTGTCGAGGACTCTACACCAGAACCAGCAAAGCTAAAGTGCAGTGTACATTGTAGGTACAGGTTTGACGAGAGAAATCCGACCTCACACTAGTGTCCCTGGCTGGCGCTAGTACTAGTAGTATAGTCAGGATGTCGGATTTCTGTGGGAAGAACTGCGTCATGCACAATGTAGTATGGACTATGGTGTATACTGTATGGAGGTACATGTCACATGATGTCTTGGATGATGTCTTTGATGATGATCATGGCACAGTCATAATGGTCAAAACGACAGGTCACGATATGACTCATGTCATGACCACCGTCGTTGACTCAGGCGCTGAGCTCATGAGTCATGAGACAGTGACAGACAAAACAGTCTGTCACTGTGTCAGCGAGGTGGACAGATTCTGGAGTGCCGGGGAGATTTTCCTGGTTTAGCACCATGTCAAGGACACGATGTAGCCCGAGCCGTGTCAGTTGTTCTGTACATGCGGATGGGGGGGGGGGGGGTGCGACACTGTGTTGCGAGCAGTGTTATTGGCTTATTGCCCTCAACAAATTATGTAAATGGCAGCTTCTCCACATCTCCAGCCATCAGCAGCCTTCGCCCATGCCTGCTACCACGTTTGGTGGTGAGGACAACCCTCACGGGAGCAGCAACTGAAGGCTAGTGAAGCTTCTGGGAGTCACGCTTGACTCCGAACTCACCTTTGACGCTCACCTACGCACTGTCACAGTTGCCTCTGGGGCGACCCCCCCCCCCCCCCGTATTGGACTGCTTCGCCGGCCACTCGAGTCCTGGACGGTCCTGGCAAGCTTGTTGTGTACCATGGCTTTGTTATGTTATACTACTACTAGTACGCTCCCCTTGCCTGGATGGGAGCTGCTCCCACCCCTACTCTTACCAGTGGTGTTTGTCCTGCTATTCTCTATCCCTTTCTTATATTACGAGTAGGTTGCACGTGTGTAGGCTGCACGGTACCGGATAACATAGCGTCATAAGCCTGTCTTGAAGGCAGGTGAGACTGTGAGTGTCTTGTAGAGACTACTGAAGAACAGGACATTCATTGTACAGTTATGCAAAGACTTAGTGCAGCTTGTCAGTGCTACCCCTCGGATAGAGCAGCCACTCTGATGAAATGACTGTTTATCTCACAGAGGCGTCGGAATCGATTAGGGTCCGGCGGATTCTGCCGGCAGAAAAATTGGCAGAATTCGGTACTTTTTCTGGTAAGTTTCATGCATGTTTGGTATGTGGAAAAAAATAGAGCAGAATTCGAGGAATTGCCCGCCATAAGGTTTGTATGGTTCTGCCAATTTCGCTGCTTTTCGAGCAGAATCTGCCACCTTTTCGAGCAGAATCCGCCAGTCCCTAGAACCGATGCAGTAAAGGTCAGTGACTATGACCTGTGGTGATGCTAATTTTTATTCCTCTTGACTTACTAGTACTTCGGTCAGTATGACTAACTATAGTGTTGTCTTCTTTCTTTCTTTTTTTCTCTACAGAATCCACACACATGTATCTCCAGACACTGGGGTGAATAATGGGGTGTGGTGGTGGGGCCCATGAAGCTCAGCCGACCAGAGGTCTCGGCGTCACTGCTCTATGGATACACCAAATGGAGATCGGGTAAGGAGGATTAATATGAAAGGGAAACAGAAGAGAAGGAGGAGAAGAAAGAAAATGAGAAGATTGTATTGCTCAGTGAGCAAAAGAATAAGTTGAGTATTGGCATGAACACTGTTAGACTTACAAGTATTATTTTTACCGATTGGAAGAGCTTGGGCAAGCTCCTGATCTATATCGATGGCAAGTGAAATCCGACCCCTGAATTTCGTGCTTGAGTGCAGCACCGATTCTAGTGGTCTCTACTAGTATTTCCTAGTGTTGCTATCCCGAGCCGAGTCTTTGCGATGCGAGCTGTGAGCGATGTGAGCTCAGGGGTCGGATTTCAGTTTCCAGCACTGTACATCACAACACAGCACAACATCACCAGCAGCAGCAGCAGCAGCAGCAGCAGCACAGTATACCAGTACAGTCGGACCACTAATTCATAATCTTCTTAGGAACTTACTTGTGGAAATCATGCAGAACACAAAGGAGAGAGAGAGAGAGACCGAGAGAGAGAATGATTCACGTGGCGAGACTGCTACACTGCAGGAAGGCTAGCCGTAAAAATCTGTGTGTCAGTAATCAACAAGTGCAGGGCGGTGAAAAAAAAGGGTGAAGTGAGAAAAAGGAAAAATAGAATAGCAAAAGATCCCCTGCGAAAATGCAGTGTGCAACGCATGAGAAAGGTTAACAGCCAGTCTTGGTCAGAGGCAGAACAGGCGTACTGAAAGACGACGGGAATTTGTTTAGATCCACCCAGCCAGATCCACGTGCTCGCGGAAACCTAGTGTCCAGGGCCACAAATCCGGACGTCTTGTCCTTGAAGTTGGCGAAGACGCTGACACTGCGAACTTTAATTCCGTCCGTGTTTCCAGCCTTGATGGTGATCTCTTTGATCATCTTTGGTGTTACACACGTGCCGCAGATATCTGTAACGTTAACGCTCACTTTCTCCATGTACGTACGGCTGTGGAGTCGGAGAATAATGCCATCGAGAGGGATGTCCTGCCGCACGGTATCAAATGCAACGCTGGCAGGGTGTTTGCTCTTGAACTCTGGAAGACTGATGTTGGGAAGAATAAGACTCTCCACTAGATGATCGTGCTTCTCCAGTAGTTCACTCAGATCACTGAACAGTGGGATGGGATTGCAAGCAAACAGCAGATCTAGATGATGTGACATTGGCCCCTCGTTGTCACTGCCGGCAAAGCGAGCAGGGCTCACTTGTAAGTTGACCGTGAACGAGTCAATGCACTCGTGGCATTTCCACCACGCGTTAGCTGAGTGAAGTCTTTGCAGGTACACACAGGAACGAGAAAAAGGAGACAACGTGTAAGATTAGTACTAAAGTGTAAGATTAGTACTAAAGTGTAAGATTAGGGCCTGTCCAGACTAGGTAGAAAACCACGTAAACACGCCGTAAACATGCTTGTTGCCAAGGTGAGTGACGAAAAATGGCCGAAAACGGGGAACGTGGGATTCACGCGGAACGTGAGTCGCGGACCCCTGTACAAAGCACGTTTCTCATCTCATGCCGTTTTCGCAGTGTTTGTTGTGTGGGAGTCGATGGAGTTTGCGGATCGCAGTTTTTTCTTGCTGTTTCCAGCTGCCGCTTGTTTTCGCTTTGGAGTTGCCACACGTCCGTTTCAGCGACCACTCGGAGGCGACATTGATACAGTCATGGCTGGACATGCAGAGAAATCCCGGGGTCTGATGAAGAGGGGTGTAGTAGCGAGACTCGGAGAATTCTCTTGATCGAGTACTGATTTGAAAGAATTGTTTGGAGAGGAAGCAGAACCCTCTTGTGACCAAAATTGACAACATGAAGGCCAAAGCCAGGAAATACACGGCGGCCACCAACATTGGTTCATCAAGCGATGCTACTGCCGGCCTCGACCTTGGCGCTGCGCTGCCGCGAGAGTCACACGGTGGCCAAATTTCCGCACCTGGAACAGAGTTCAGGGTGATATTCCTTGAGCTCGGCGTCAGTGCTGCCATCGCTGGGCCGCCACTTGTTTTGTAGCTAGCTGGGTAGGTCTAGCCCAAGCCAGGGAGTCCTTTCCTGGTCTACCTTGGTCTACGCGCTACAAACATTGCAATTGTGCAATCGCGGCATCTAGAGAAAATGTGAACAGGTACACGACGTAGTTACACTGGTGACAGAGTGCAGTGTGGACAGAGCATCGCGTGTACGTCACGTACTCTGAAACGACACGCCGTTTTTATTACATAGTGTGGATAGGCCCTTAGTACTAAAGTGTAAGATTAGTACTAAAGTGTAAGATTAGTACTAAAGTGTAAGATTAGTACTAAAGTGTAAGATTAGTACTAAAGTGTAAGATTAGTACTAAAGTGTAAGATTAGTACTAAAGCACAATGCTGCCAACCTTCCGTATTTGTACGGAAATTCACTCCTTTGTCCGCAGTACGGAAATTGTACGGAAAACTGAGAAGTATGGATCTGCTGACTGTGAACCAGTTTTACCCATGACTAAGTACTTGTACATGTATGCGGAGCACATAAAACTGCAGAGTATACGCCAACACAGGGTGTTCCATTCGACTCAGCACCCCGACGACTACAGCTAAACTGGTGAGAATTTGATTTTAGCTTTTACTTCCCCTTTAAATATTCATTATTTTCGCAAAAATATACATTATAAATCATGGGATTAAAAAAAATGGTAGTACGCAAAAGCTCTGAAAAATACGGAAATTCTGCCGGCCCCGTACGCAAATCAGACCGAGCAGGTTGGCAGCACTGAAAGCATAATATGTTAGGGAAGTGTATAGACATGAACCTTCTCAATACCTGCACCACCCAGTGCCAAATAGCCCCAGCCAGACAACACAAGACACCAACTCATAAGGGACAACACACCTCGAGTCACACTGACCCTAGCTGCTAAGAATGTCCTCAACCAGGAGACACAATTCGTCACAACAAAGCCATGGTCACTGCACAGCAGGGCGACGGGCGGTTACACTTACCCGCAAAGGAGAAGAAGTACGGCAACAACGCTCATGGAAGACATCTTCACGGGGCAGGACTTCTTCTTGGATAGCAGCTGAAAAGTAGCGAGAAGAGATCGGAGAACCTTTCTGCAAACAACCTAGGTCGAGAAGACCGTTTCGAAAATGCAGTAGCTGTTTGAACGAAGCTGACTTCTCTTCTTTTTACGTTACCTGCCGCTCCCGCCAGCGCTGAATGCAGTAGGTGTAGTTGTCGCGAGCTTTGCCGCCTCACGCCTCTAAACTGCGCCAGCCCTCACAGCCATGATCCACGGCCAGATGGGGAGGAAGCGCGCCGATCTGCGTTGTGGCTAGAAAATGCGCCCATCACACGGTTACCGGCCATAAACCACGTACATTGTAGCTTCACAAATCTTTTCACAAATCGGACAACGACAAGCTAAGCAACCTAGGCTAGGCAGTGAGATCTGAGACCTCAACGTCGGACCAAACGATGCTCGCTCACACCTCCGACGCACGCCATACTACGTTGACGTACAGACTTGCATCCACAGGCACTCCGTACCCGTGCGCGTGAGGTATGGGAAGTAACCGGAGATCGAGAGCGATGACGATAAGGCGCGATCTCCGGCGATAACAAACCGCTCGCAGCACGGACAAAGTGGCAACATAAAAACCGAAGAGGCAGTGAATTCAGTCATTGGACGGGAAACTTCTTCAACTCTACGAAACTTCAAGCGGCATTTCTCCCTAGCCAGGCCCACTGCAGTCAAGTCAAGTCTCCACGAAGTTCCACGGTGCTCGCAAGGATGTCTTCGCCTCAAGCTGTCGCTCTCCTTCTCCTTCTCCTTTGCGGGTGAGTACATTCAATTGAATAGTGTTTGCTTTTTGTTCGGTGACATTGTCACGGGTATGGTTCTGCCAGAGTTAGTACTACAATTTCAAACCTGAAGTTTGTGTTCAGTGAACACACCGGGAGCCCACTGTTGATGATGCCAATGAGGTTATTTCCCTGCGCGTTTGTCAAAAGTACTTCAACAGTACTATTTCAGCAAAAAACGTTCAGTCCATCTGCTGGAGGGAAGGAGTTTCAGGATCACACGATTTTTTCAAATCGCTGTGAGTTTTAGAAATGTTATTGCAGAGCCGAAATGTTGTGCAGCAGCCTGGCTTGCTTGCTGGTTTACCTAGCATCTAGTCTTCTAGACCTGTCATCCACTCCACCTGTACTAGTACTGTAAAAGCCATTATTCTAGCGAGGCGTATTATAATGATTTCCCAAAATTGACTGGTTTACGTGAAGGTAACGATTCTCACAGTTTATGTATCGATTTCTGCATAACGATTTCTATTTTAACGACAGATTTCTCCTCGTTATTAATACGAGAACAAAATAAAGTGCTAAAATAGAATGAAGAAGAGTGAGAAAGTAGAAGTTAAAGTGCAAAGGGGGTGAGACAATTTTAGCACTTTATTTTGTTCTCGTAACACATTATTCAATGCATTTTAATCATTGTTCAGCACGGATACTCTTCAATAAGTCTGTTCTCCATCTTGTTTCTTTGTGTGCCATCATAGACTTCACTCAGCTAACGCGTGGTGGAAATGCCACGAGTGTATCAACTCGTTCACGGTCAACTTGCAAGTGACCCCTGCTCGCTTTGCCGGCAGTGATAACGAGGGACCAATGTCACATCATCTAGATCTGCTATTTGCCTGCAACCCCATCCCACTGTTCAGTGATCTGAGTGAACTACTGGAGAAGAACGATCATCTAGTGGAGAGTCTTATTCCAAACATCACTCTGCCGGAGTTCAAGAGCAAACACCCTGCCAGTGTTGCATTTGATACCGTGCGGCAGGACATCCCTCTCGATGGCATCATTCTCCGACTCCACAGCCGTACGTACACAGAGGAATTGAGCGTTAACGTCACGAATATCTGCGGCACATGTGTAACACCAAAGATGATCAAGGAGATCGCCATCAAGGCTGGAAACACGGACGGTATTCAAGTTCGCAGTGTCAGCGTCTTCGCCAACTTCAAGGACAAGACGTCCGGATTTGTGGCCCTGGACACTAGGTTTCCGCTAGCACGTGGATTTGGCTGGGTGGACACCAACCATTTCCCATCAGGTCTAAGCCAGACTGTTCTGCCTCTGACCAAGACTGGCTGTTAACACACCACGTGACCAGTGTGTGGCTGTTAACACACCACGTGACCAGTGTGCACCCAGTCATTATTATCCACGTTTTGCAACGGTCTTCAGCTTGACAAATCTTACTTTTTCCAGTACATGCTTTCTGCAATGTAGATCCAAATTCACTTCCGCAATTATGACCTGCACTTTTATTACTAGCTAGTATTATTCCTTGTGTTCACAAATCGCGATATTGCTAATCTTCAATTCAAGAGCGTAGAAAAAGAAAAAGAAAGAGAAAAAGAGAGAAAAAGCCTATTGTGGGTTTGCCTTGACAATTGATGTGTAGCCCATTTGTGCCAGTGTGATACATTCACCTTGTCAGAAAGGCTAACAGTGCAACAGTGCTATGCCTTGTCTGAGAAAAACATACTGAATATGCATTTAAGTCCAATACAAAATTGGAATGCACAAAAGAATGCAAGTCGAAATAGTGGTTGCGACTTGGGCGATGATTCGCTGGGAAAGGGCAAACCTAGTAAAACAAAGCAACAGTAATCTGTAATAGCAACTATTGAACTGGACACATTCAGTGTGAATCTACCTTGTCTGAGATGATTATAATGCTCTGCCTGTTCTGAGAGGCTAAGGATGGCTTATAATGGGCTAGGAGAGTGTGTTCGCTGAGCGTTAGAAACCAAGCTTACATGCAGTTAAGCGTATACTTGTGAGGCGACTACATCGTAGCTTATTCGATAGTAACCTCTTTTACGGGAAAACCGAACACAACTAATTTTGAAATTTATGGAGAGCTAGAACACAATTCAAGTAGTGAAAACAATTGCATGAAAGGAAGAATGGGATACCGTGAAAGGAAGAATGTGATACCGTGAAAGGAAGAATGGGATACCGTGAAAGGAAGAATGGGATACCGTGAAACTGGAACCCTACTCAAATACAGCAAAAGTCAATGAAGCGAACACTGTCATAGAATAGGAATGCCATACACTCTCACAGAAAGGAAAATGAGAAGTGACGTAATCAGTACCTAACACCATAGCTTAGTGGTAGAGCAAGGCAGCTTTGTCAGTTAGACTAATCAGGGGCGTAGGCAGGGGGGTGCTTTGGGTGCCAAAGCACCCCCCTCAAAAATGTCGATCTTGGTTCACAGCTGGTTCGAGAGAGACCATAGCAGACCCGCTGATCACATGCGCAAATCTGCAGGGAGTAGTAGGTATTACTCCCTGGTTCAGACCTGCAAGTACAATGTATCTGAAACCAATCCACATGCAGTGGACTATTAATTTTTGTCTCATGATCGGCCATTTTGCAATGAAATTTCTAGTCAAGGGAACTCCGCTTCGTACCTGCCGTTGTGCAGTGTCACATCAGGCCTCAGCAGGCTCAGCGCATGATTTGTATGGCACTCCACATGTTTTGTTAGAAGCAAAGAATCATACAAACACGCCATTGGTAGAAGCAAGGAAGTAGCAACGCGGTCTAAGGCCGGAAAGCACACGTCAGACATAGCAGTTTGTTCTCGCTATGTTTTGTATAATGTAGTTCTCGATGTTAATTGGTATCGTTGTGGAAAGGCAAAGTTTCTTTCATGCATTGCAAGTGTGGATACAGCAGTAGAAGAATGAAAGTAACTTTGAAGTGCACTTTGAGTTTTTGTGGGAAATAGTGTAGGTTTGGTCAAGGATGTGTTACTGCACTATCAAACATGACGAAGGGGAAAATGGCTCGAGAAATCCCACTTTAAAAGTTCGATGGAGAGTGTGATAATTCTGGAGAAAGCAGCAACCAGGACTTAGTCCATCATTAGTTGGAAGCAGGCCAGGGTGTAGTAAAATACCATAACTATTACTACTCCCTGGTTGGAGATTTGCCACTATGATTCACTGATTGATCTTCAGCGTCGAATTAGGGGCGAATTTTGCTTCCCCCCCCCCCCATTTCACGGATCGAATAATGTGCATGAAAGGACCAACATAAGTGCATGTACTTTTGTGTGGGAAAGTCGTGGCACCCCCCTTGATCACTATCCTGGCTAGCCCCTGTTAGTGGTAGGGCATGGCTGGCAATACGCAAGGGTCGCTGGTTCGAGTCCTGGTTAGGCATTGGCGGATGATGCTCGAAAAGGTGGCAGATTCTGTTCGAAAAGCAGTGAAAATTGGCAGAACCATACAAACCTTATGGCGGGCAATTCCTCGAATTCTGCTCCATTTCTTTATCCACATACGAAACATGCTTGAACCTTAACAGAAAAAGTACCGAATTCTGCCAATTGTTCTGCCGGCATTATCCGCATATGCCTAATGGTAGCTTTGTCAGTTAGTGGTAGGGCATGGCTGGCAATACGCAAGGATCCCTGGTTCGAGTCTGGTGGTAAGAGTCACTTTTTGTCCAATTTCTCCAGGTTGCAACTCTCTGAAAATAATTAGAATTGTGAGTGGATTCAATTCCCTGTACATACAGTACACGTATATGGTCTGACCATAAACAGCAAATGCAAGTTTATTCTTATGGCGATAAAAATCACAGATTGCATGTTACTCATCATGATGAGGAGATGGCGTTTTAACGCTTGGGTCACCACTGTAAGTGGAATGCACTGCTCCGTAGATCAACGACCAGACCAGGGAGCAGTGCAATGGTATTGCCCTACTTAGTTCCTGGACCAGACCTGGGTCATCTCATACACGCACATATACATGTACAATGACTACATATTATGGCAAGGTACGTTCGGGCCTGATGGGAAATTTTTATTTCCATTGCTATCAGGTTCGGCCTCATTTCCTCTGTGCTGCGCTGATGAGTTCAAAAAGAACGAAACAGCATGCTGTCCGCAGATTGAGTATTTCGCTCCTGCTCTTGTAGCAGTTGAGCACTCTTGCGTGGGGTAGTGCCTTTGCTGTTTGCGTTATGCAGAGCTCACTGACTTGTCAGTTTGAGCACTCTGGCAAGGTACGTTCGGGCCTGATGGGAAATTTTTATTTCCATTGCTATCAGGTTCGGCCTCATTTCCTCTGTGCTGCGCTGACGAGTTCAAAAAGAAAACCTACATACGTATTAACTATGTACATGTACATGTGCAGTGTAGACTCTACCTATGTTCGCAGTATGGATAACTGACACTTCCATGATCCCTTAGTCGTTGGTCTTCTAGTTGCGTAAATCATGTGCCTGGTATTTTCAAACTCAGAGACATTGCACTCAAAGTTTCTAACGTTGGATTTAGCTCAGCCTCTCCTCTTTCTGCCATGGTACTTGCACATGACCATTGGTCCATTTCGGCAGCATGTCACGGGACCTGTCCAGAATGGCATGGTGATCTCCTAAACCCTGGTGCGGACCTCATCCAGAAACCTGCAGCCCATGGCAATGCACACACACAATGTACCATGTATACGCCCGTCGCAAGAGAGGCACGCAAATATGAAAATGCACTCGATGTGCACCCACAGATGTTCTCTTTACAGCAACGATAGCGGATTCTGATTCTGATTCTGATTCTGATTGAAACAGATCAAGACAAGCGCCAGATAACTGTCTAATCCACACAACTGGCAAAGCCATGTGAATCCACCCCCAATGCACACCTGGTCTACATACACCACACGGAGTGCATCGGAATAGGACAGCCAAGACAGTTACCTATGCACACCCTACACTTGCTGGGGTAACCAGTATAGACACTCCCCAGACCTCAGACATGCCCATCGCGGAAGCGATGATAGCGAACAGCTATGTTAGACATACAGTAGCAACTTGTGCTGGGATTACACCATTCAACAGCTTGCAAAGCTGATGATTTGACCGCCACTATTTTTAGCCTGGTATCCACCACACAGCTGTTTGAAGTGACTTTTTCTGGCCAGTGATTCCCTATTTTTCATTTTTCCCTTTTTTCTACACACATACACACACCACACCACATACTCCGGCATACACTGGCTGTTGGTAACCACCCAGGAGAATGAAAGAAAAGTCAGGAAGAGTCCGAGAAAGAGAAGAAAGACGTGTGCGACCATAATCGTCGGGAATTGAACCCGCAACCTCACGATTGGAAATCGACTGCACATACCACTGCACCATATGGGACACACACACGCACACACACACACCATGCACCACACATACACACACACACCATGTACCACACATACACACACACACACACACACACCACCACCACCACCACCACCACACCACACACACCACACACACACTCACAAACACACACTCTTTCCTTTTGATCGATGCGTGTTGCCTTGTTCCTTACACTTGTCTACTTTACTTTTTTAAAATCTTTTAATAGGGTTGTGTTTCAGAACTAAATATTGCGACAGAGCTTTCGGCCATATTTTCAATTCATTGCATTCCCAACTCATCACAACCACGCGCTCTTCAGCCGAACCATACAGACAACAGCAAGGACACTTCCGTTGAGAGATAATATTGCTCCACGCCTCTAGACAGCTGTTTCGCTCCCTGTCGGAGCTCATCTGTGTTTGCTAATAAAATCACACACAAGCGCGCGCACACACACAAAACCACACATTGTTTTCATGATCAAAATCTAGCGAGCCATTCAGGCAATATTATATCCTGGTCTATATCAGTTGTAGAGGTCACCTGCGGAAGACTGCTCATTACACTAGGGTACACAGCCGTGCACATGTCTTTGATGCCCATTTCAACATGTGTACAACTACAAGTAATTCTACAGAACAGAACAACAAGGACAATCAAGGCTTGTTTGCTGCGACTTGAAGTTTCATGCTCTCGCAATCATCAGGCAACAGTTGCCTGATGATAGCGATAGCATGAAACTTCAAGTCGCAGCAAACAAGCCTTGATTGTCCTTGTTGTTCTGTTCTGTATTACGCTCTGCCTCCGCCATGGTGTTGAGCACTGTCAGCACACTGGGTACATCCTCCGGTACAAGTATTTCGATTTATTTGCGGGATGCCCCAAAGGCGTAATGTAATGAAGATACAGTGTACAGTAGACAGATGGTCCATACTGCAGCAGTGAATGAGGATTTGCTCAAGTAATCCAGCACCCTCTCTAATGTAGCCGAACTTCCGTAGCGCAAATGGTGCCGGATTATGGTGCCGGATTATGGTGCCGGATTACAAACTTTAACCAGGGATCCCTGTGTTATTTGAAAGTATGCTATTTGACCCTCGTGTTCCTTCCGTTCCAGTCCCGCAAACTGATTTCATCTCATTCTGTACGCGGCAGCGGCAGCTGCATCAGTTTGCGACCTAGCAGCCGGGGAAGGGCATTGATAATTTCAACGTAATCCTTGTGGTCTGCTCCATTG